CCAGTTTTGAAAGTAGTTGGGTAAGAAAGTACTAAACATAGACAAAGGGCAATTCCAAAAGAACAAATGATTGTTTAATTTAGGCTGGCACTACACTACCCAGTTGGTGGGGTCTCATCCACCAGGGAAGGGCAATGTTCACCACTGAGGTCGGGCAAATTCCCAACATGCCAACTGACAGAGTAATGAGGGAGAATTTATTACTCATGCCCATTCGCATTCCCCGGGAATAGAAATAAAAGGAGCATATTCCACTCTAGTTGAATTCAACTCAGGGGCTGTATCTACTGAAATATTGTCTCAGGTAAAAAGTCAATGGCAATGAAAGCCCAACATTCTCCAGTCCCTTTAGTTCTTGCTATAGTCCAGGCACCTTAACAACCCCACTTGGTAGGCCTGAACTCCTGAGAAAGGAAGATATCTCCACTCTTCTTCATAATTGTAGTTATGCTGACACTTAAACAGACCACAAGACTGGACTTACTAGCATTTCTGTTAAATTGATAATGAGAACATTTCAGAGATAAAAAAGCAGCATGTCCAGCTATATGCTGAATGATGCCATAAGGAGAACGAAAATAGGAACTGTCTTTCTCTTAAGGCACTACTTGTCATCACAGCACCCTAGAATTTTAGAGATGATGATGACATCAGAGAGTCTTTAATCCAAATGCTTATTTTATGGAAGAAGAAAAAACAAGGTCCGGACAAGGTGTGACTTCCCCCAAATCACAGAGTAAGTTAGTGACAGAGGCAGAACATGAACCTGATTTCCACTTTACTGTTTTCTTCATAAACTACAGAAAAATTATAAGCCATTTATTTATGCCACATATAAAGCTGTCTCCTTTTCGGAATAAGTTTCCCAGTGACTGACTGAACTACAGAGAGAATTCCAGAACTTGAGAACAAGAATAAACCAAGCAATTATAATTCCTCCATTTCATTTTCTCACCAAGAATCAAAGGCCTAGTGAAGTTCTAGAATGTGACACTGTAAAGAAAGGAGGGAGAGAATCACAGAGCCTGGTTCCCTGTCTCCTTTTCCTGGGTCAGTGGAATCTATGCAGATCATGCTGTTTTTTAAAGCACTTAAAGTAAAATAAGAAGTTTAATAGTTTATAGTATGATAAATTATTTCAAAAAGCAAGTAATCACATTTATCTGTTTAGGTCTGGGTTTTCCAAATAATGTGTGCGTGCATGTGTGTATATTTTGAGGATGGTACACCTGTACCCAATAAATCATAACTACCAAACAATCATATACAAATCCTGTTCTCCCACTTTAAACCCATTAACATAGCTAATAATGAAAAAAAACAGAACTGTGGTATAAATATACAATGAAATATTATCCAGTCTTAAAAAGAAAGGAAACTCTGTCATATACTACATCATGAATGAAGCTCAAAGACACTGTATAAAGTAAAATAAGCCAGTTACATACAAACTGAATGATTCCACCTATTTGAGGTACATACAGCAGTCAAATTCATAGAGACAGAAAGTAGACTGGTGGTTGCCAGAGGCTGAGAGGATGGGAGGAATGAGGAATTGTCATTTAGCGAGTACAGAATTTTAGCTCTAAAAGATGAAAAGTGTACTGGAGATGAGTGGTGGTGAAGGTTGCACATTATGAATTATATTTAATACCATGGAATTTCATAGTTAAAAACGATTAAGATGGAAAATTTAATGTTCTATGTATTTTACCACCATAAAAATCCAGCCTTCCTTCTTTTGGCCTAACATGCGGTTGCTCCACCCCCAGCATCCTCTCTGCTATCCACTCCCAAGTGCCTGCCAGTGAGGGAAATAAGGACCATTATTATTTCCACTCTCTCTACAACAATTTCCCTATTGATTCAAGCAAGAATGTGGGGTAGGGATTATAAGCAGTGTGACTTACAATAAACTTTTACTCTGCAACACAACACTCTTTTAAACATCTCTTCTCTCTTTAACTAGACTTGAAACTCAAGAACTAAAAACAGGCTAGAGAAATGAGGCATGTATGTTTGGGGTGGACCCCAAGATGAGCAAATTTAGATTCATCCTGGGTTTTGGTGATTAATTCTGATTCTGTGCACCATCAAAGATTCCTTTATTCTTTCTCCTTGTTTTTCTTCCCCATGAGTATATCTGCTGTTGAATCATGTCCACGACATTCAATGATTATCTCACTATAATGAGGTCATTGGGGAGCAACTTACTCTGTCTGCACTGTCTCCAGCAACCATGAGAAATTATGATGCCTCAAATCATATTAATGTAATGCTAAATCTTCCATGAAAGATCTAAAGGAGATTAAGGAAAACAATTTTACTGATGTGGCTGTCATTTCAAGATACTAGTATGTAAAATACAAAAATAATGTGCACTTGATACACTTTATTTTATGATTGATTTTATGTGCACTTGATAAACTTTAATTGAATGATTAAAATCTGTTAGTAAAATTACTCAACATCCTATGCTATTCCCTATTAACTGATGAAGCAGCACCAAAACTAGACAGTATAACCTCACACGAAGTCTCATAATAAGTGAGCAATTCTAATTCTGTAATGTGGTTCACTGCTATCCCCTGAATAGAAAAGGCCTAAAAGTCACTGGTATATTATATAATCCCAAACTCAATCATCAGTTCAATACTTTAGCACCCATTGTAAAAACTAAAAAACAGTTTCGTGTACTACTAAATTATTCCACATAATGAAGCTGTCTTCTTTTCTTTTTTCTTTTTCTTTTTTTTTGGCAGTTTTTGGCCGGGGCTGGGTTTGAACCCACCACCTCTGGCATGTGGGGTCAGCGCCTTACTCCTTTGAGCCACAGGCACTGCCCAGCTCTCTCCTTTTCATGTTCTACTATTAGGTTTAAATTTCCCTGCCATCTGTACTCCTATGCAAGGAGTTACTGACCTAACTACAGAGAGAATTCCAGAACTTGAGAATAAGAATAAACCAAGGAATTATAATTCCTCCATTTCATGGGCTCTAGAGCTGCACTCACATACTAGTTCCAATTATGTGAACTTGGACAAGTTACTTGAACTCTGTGTGCCTCTGTTTTCTCATCTCTAAAATGGGCATAATAATAGAACTTAACTACAAAGACTTTTTTGAGGAGAAATAAAATTTATAGAGACCTCTCAGAGGAGTGCGTGATGCATTATAAATTCCCAGTCCACATTCTCTTCTGTTTCAGGGAACCAATCTTTTAATACAGTAAACCAAATAACACAGTTGTATGACATTAATAAATGATGATTTCTAACTCACTAAACTGTTGGAATTCTTTCTTGCCTCCCTATGATCTTAACCATTACTTGTAAGTTTTGGGCATTAACTGGCTTCCAACATTCCATTGCTTAATAGAAAAAGTTAGAAAATCCTTAGATTTTCCAGTTAAATAAAATGAGACATAATCACAGCGTGTTCATATGTTTGGGTAAGAAAACACTTTCAATGACAGTGCATATGTCCACAGGCTTAAATCTTGAATGAAAAAACTAAGCCTCATTCCAAAAAAGAACATAAATAATTTTTAATGAAATAAATTATTGTTAAATACATCTAAGGAAGTTTGCAAAGCAATTTCAACTAGCTCTATGTGGTATTTCTTCATATGCACACTGAGGAACATTTACAGACTGTAGATGATAGACTATCATCAAACAGCTGTTAAGCCCCCATGTCCATAAGGATGGTGGCATCTGGCAAAGCAACATGGTCAGAAATTCCTAAAACCAAAAGGGAGTTAGTTTTTATTCTATGCCTAAAGTATTTTTAAATCAAGCCACAGGGAAATGATTACTTTTGTTTCTATTCAATCAAGACCTGCACACAGAGTTTATGGAATGACATAATATCCTTCCTGAAATCAGACTGGCATGTAGGACCAGTATCCTTTACACAGAACTAGTTCCTGAACCTTTACAAACAATTCCCAATTTCCAAGGAAACAATCTCTCCAAATGCTGCTCACTAGAATACATATTGTTCTTTTTGGAAACATTACAATAAGATCTTCATGATTACAAACCCCAACTTCCCCTCTAAAATTCAATATAATCTTAAGCTCATTTATTTAAATAGAGACTGTATTTTTATAACAGCTCTAGAAATTCCTGGTAAACTCATGTCACATCCATGATAATAATTTAGTTTTTGCAGTACAGGAGAGGAGTGGTCGTTAGCTGATTACAGATATATGTGTGTTAGGAGCTTCTTAGGAATGTTCATCTTCCTACCTTCCATGGACCTATCCTATAAGGAGATGTTTTAAACTTCTTTTGGAGAAAGGTTAAGTTTTAGGAACGTCCAGGCTTCTCACCTGGTATTTTTTGAAGGGCTGAGAATAAAAAGAACATCCTACTGCTTTATAATCAATATTCTCTCCTCTTTGGCTTAGGAAGCTAATGTTTTGTGTCACAGGATTTGTTTTAAGGTGAACACATTTACCCTTTACCAGAAAAGTCATATCAACAAATCAGTGGCAACTATTGACATAAATATACAAACAGGAAGAGAATGTGATTCCAGCTGTAGGTCCCATGGCCTTAAGGATAGAATTCTTACTTTCTTTACTAAGGACAGTCTAATATTCTGGGCAGAGTGGACATTAGTCACCCCACCCACTCCCTAATTAAACAAACAAGTGTCCGCGTTCCACAGATGACAGCAGGCGAGGAACCTGCACGAAGGTTTCTCATTGGTCTTCTAGAGACACGTAAGTTTTGTAATTTCTGATTCTCCGTCCCACCGTGAAGTTTTTTGTGTACTTTATGTAGAGTTATGTGGCAACTAAGTGCTGTCACTGTGTGCTGAATAACTGCAGCCTAAAGTTATTTTTCAAAGTTATGCGTCGCGTGGCAGAGAAATCCATATATTGTAAAGTGAAAACAATCCTTTAAAAAAAAAAAAACTGGCTTAGCATGAAACAGAGCCAACAGAAATCAGAATGAGCAAACAGCCTTCCACTGCCGCCAACAACTCACCTTGCTGGATTTTAGTCACTAGCTGATGGCGCGCTAGGATCCGGCTCATCCTGTAAGGAGAGCGTCTGGCAGTCTGATCAAATCGCAAGTACATGTCCTGGCCCTCAGGTGTCATGGAATTTAGATAGTAGCAGCCTGAAGCTGGGGTCCTGGGCACCTGCCTGAGCATCCCGGCAGATTTCCTACTGCCACCTCAGTCCGCCTGTGGCTGTTTCCGTCTGCCTCCAGTCTCAAGTCAAAGAGCAAGGGACCCAGCCCAGGAGAGCTCAACAGACCAGGCGATTTTTTAAAAGAAAAAGGAGTGCCAAAACCACAACTCCGAATTCCAACCCCCGGGGCCTCACGTGACGGCGGGGAGCCAATCGGAGGCAGAGGGAGAAAGCGGGCCGTCCCCGCTCGGCTCCCAGCCGGGGGAGAGGGGCAGCCCCGCGGCCGCGGCCCCGCACCCCGCGCGCTGGAGCAGACGCGGACCCGACGTGCCTCGGAGCGGACCGAGCCCCCGAAGCCGGCGCTCGGGAAAAACGTTAGAGGGAGGCAAGAGAAAAGTCAGCCGCGGGCACAGGAAACCTTCCAGGCTGTAAAGTTAGAGAAAGTTTCTTTGCTCTCTTTTCCACCAGGCAGCTGCAGCCAGGTAAAAGTTGGACGTGATAAACCTTCTAAATAAAAAAAGCTACTTCAAACAAGCAGGAACAGCTGCGTATAAACTACTACCCTTCGTTATAAAGAAAGGAATCAAATGAAAGCTTTTCCAGTGAAAAATAAACTTCAAGTGTTTTGACACAAGGAGTAAATAAATGCCCCTCCGATGCCTGGCCCTCCTGGGGGCTCTTACAGGTGGGATTCCGAGCGGCAAAGTGCACACCAGTGTTATGTACTAAGCGCCCATGCCTCTTCAGTTTTCCTACTTCCAAATTTTTAAATCACCAAGATGCAAAATACTTCGAAAGTACCTATCCCAGTTAAGACACGGCCAAGAGTTATTGCAGAAGCTGCAAAGATAGTTGCAGAGATGCCGCCCTGGACCTGCTGAGGATCAATGCAGAAGTTCTGCGAAAGCTTCTGGCACAAGACCGCCTATGAAAGGCCCTTTGAAAAGGCCCAAACTCAATACTAGGTGAACAGTATTATTTTTGACTGAAGTGATGCTTGCAGGCCAAATAAAGAAAGAGACATTTGGATAAGCTTTTTAAAATGGGGGTGGGGAGGAGAGCTGGGATTCTGAGAAGCAGAGGCTGGAGGGGGGGACTTTGTAAGAGGGCCTGTGGCCCCTGTGCACAAATTGGGAACCAGAGTGTGTGTGTAAGGAAACCGCTACTAATTCAATTTGGCCATATCTGAGTATACATATGGGAGTCGTTAGGATTCTTTTCCCTGAGTTTTTCTCTCTGATATTGTTTGACATGAAGAGAAAAAGTCTGTAGAAAACATGTTATAAAATTCTGAGCCTGGGGCTGAATGGATAAAGTTCTTTGATTAAAAAAAAAAAATGCATATAGCCAAGATGCTTTTACATTTGAAACTGAAACATTGCCTGGCTGGGGATTGATAATAGGAAATTATTTCTAAATTAGTTCCAAATTAAAAGTCTAACAAGAGTTAAATTAGGACCCTAATTCTTATTGCCATAGCTCTATACTGGTGATCACCTTTCCCTGTGGGGAATTTTTGCTGCTGGCCCAATTCTGAGAAGCAGCTCAACTTGTGTAACTCTTCCACTATGTAAATAAACAAGTTAAAGGTCTCTGGGGCCTCGTGCTAGAGCAGAATCTCTCAGGGCAGTCCTTAGCCTCTTCTGACGACTTTGCAAGAGTCAGTGAGTATTAGTTTTCAAGTTGGGATCATAGCAGAAAAGGAAAGGAAGTCCTTGCTGAACCGTATTGTACACTTTCCATTCTTATTTAGGATTTGAGCAGACGTTTTCTGTTCCATAGGATCCTTTGTGGAAGGTGAAAGAGATCTGATAAGGTTGTCCAACCTGCATCCCTGGGCAGCCTGCTGATTTGGAGAGGACTTTTTTTTGCTTATCTGTGGTGTTGGGTATAACAGATCTTTTTTTTTTTTTTTTTTTTTGCTAATCAAGTTTCCTTAGTGTTTGTGTATTTACTGTGTGCCCCCAAAAACTTTTATCCTTCCAATGTGCAGCAGAAAAGAAAAAAGGTCGGCCACCCCCGGATAAGATCTAGGGACTTGGCAGAAGGATGAACCTGAATGGAGAAAAGTTTAACACTACCCGGTATCCCGAAGGTCACCATAATGTTGCCATACATAGGGAAATGAAAAATTGTAGCCAAATGTACCTTTATTTACAATATATTCATTACAAAAATATTTACAAAATATTCTCTATGTGTTTGTACCACGGGGGGCATCCCTTCTTTTCAAGCCAGACACTTATCAATTGTCCTATTTATTTATTTTATTGAGAAAGAATGGGCAAAGGGTGGAGAGAGAAAGAAGAGAGGAACATGGAATTTGGGAACACTGGACATGTTCTGGGAAACCAAGTAAAGGTGAAGGAAAGACAGGCAATATTATGTAGCTGTTTCACTTACACTTACAGAAAGACTGGAAATCCTAAGGGCCAACTTTGTACCTCATTGCTGGCTTAGCTATCTTTTAAAAAGAAATGGAATGATTCTTCCTGAAAAACACTGCAATATATCAGAGACAGGTTACTGGTGGGGGTGGGGGACCCCTGACATTGCCTCCTTTTTTGCATAGAAATAAATGTGTTGAAAGTCCTAGGGCATCTTGTGCTGAAAACACCACAATTAGAAATATGTATTCTTTGACACATAAGCAAATGCAACATGAGACATAATATTGCATAGGGCATTGGCAATGAAGGACAAGAATTGAACCCAAATTAAGAGAAAAAGAATTCATATTTCCTGACTAAAAGAAAGACAGCTTAGAATGAAGCCTAATTTTTCCAAAAAAATCAAGTAGTGTTTTGATGAGGGGATCTTGGAAGGATTATGTTTCAAGAACTTGGTCTTCTTTATACATACACAGGCCCCTATAATTTTATTTTGTGGTTCAAATAGTATCTATAAACCCATGTACTTGCTTTCCACATTTTTGCCATTTTGTATTTCCAAAGTACTATGTTTAAGGCAGATAGGGAATGTCATTTTCTCATTAACATGTCATTAGTACTTTGTTTACGCTAAGGTATTGGCATTGCTATGAAACCCATACTCTTTTTTTTTTAAGACTAAAATCACCTTATTTAACTTTTCATAATCATTTGAAATATATTTGAACAGAAATTGCAGGAAAATTTATTATGCTTGGAAAATACAAAGAATTAGTGTTGAAAGCAGAAGAAAATGGCTTTTGTGCAAACACATGAATTATCGAATGATGTCTAGTTCTCCTCTGGGACATGACAATTCCAAAATTTCCAAAATCGATTTTAGAGTCAACTGTTTTGCTATGGTTTTGCATCTTGATGCACGAGTCTGGGACTAGCTTGGATGTATCTGAGTTTACAAAAGCCTAAATAGGAATGTTTTTCTTTTTGTTTATTTTTTCTTTCAAATTTCTGGGCAGATCCCAGATTAAAGTCAGAACTTTATACAGATATCCATTCTCTGATTCCTTGGATATTTGATCTCCTTGGTCTCTCCCAGACTTTCATAGGTTTTACAATGCCATTTTCAATCAAAAGTTCTGAGAATAATGAAACCTGTTTTTTTGTTTTGTTTTGTTTTGTTTTTTATCATTTTGTCCCAGTGTTACAAGAAGTACCACTGTGGTGGGCAGTTATACTCTACTAGAGGCAAAAAACTGTTGGTTATCTCCTGGGCTTGTTCTCTCTACATGCCGTTGAGAGAACAGGGCCCCTTCACTGGTGAGGGAGTGAGGTCCTGAGGAATCAGAGAGAGGGAGAGAATGCCAAAACACGAGTGCATCTTCCAAGACTGACGGTGTACACCTTCCTTTCTAATTCGTTTAAAAATCAGCAAAATCAAGAGCCCTCACTTTAAGTTTTTACCTGCTTTTCCTTGCTCTTAATCTGGTCATCAAGAGCAGTCTTCACTCAGATTATCTCAGGAATAGATTATTTTGAACCAAAGAAAGCAAAAAAGGAAAGAAAGAAAAGGAGAAAGGAGCACCTGCTAGGTGCCAGGTCTCATGCTACTTCCATCTCACGTTATTCATTGATTGCCACACCAACCCTCTGAGGCGTCTGATTTTATTGAAAGGAAACTAAGACTCCCAGAGATGGAGCAATGGACTGGGGCTTACAAGTGTTGAGTGGGGTGTATCTCCAAGCTGAAGCCATTCTAACTCTTCCCATTATTGCACATGAGAGTCAGTGAAAGAAAACTGTGGCAATGAAAAGACACAGGAGAGCATTTTGGAAGAACAGACTGAAGATCACCTTGAATCCTATTTAATGACAACTGGAACATCTAAATGGAGATATGGGTATGAGATGGCTAAAATCCCATGAAGGGATGAAAGCCCATGAAGAACAGAGCCCAGAGCCATTAGTTAGTCAATGAGAGCTTGAGCTCTTGGTGGGGTGTGGAGGATCATACCTATAATACCAGCACTCTGGGAGGCCTTGGCTGGTGGATTGCTTGAGCTCAGGAGTTCAAGACTGGTCTGCAAGAGCGAGACCCCATCTCTAAAAATAGCCAGGCATTACGGCAGGTGCCTGTAGTCCTGACTACTTGGGAGGCTGAGACAAGAGGATCACTTGAGCCCAAGAGTTTGAGATTGCTGTGAACTATAATGCCATGGCACTAAACCAAGGCTGACAAAGTGAGACTCTGTCTCAAAAAAAAAAAAAGAAAGAAAAGCATGAGCTCTCTTAAGAGCTACCCATAGCTGAGGATTAGAGACTCACTTCCCAATCTGGAAGTGACAAGGCAGCTCACCTTGACCTCTCTTTGACAGCCCTCCCTTTGTTGGGATAGGTTGTTGGTCATCTGCTTTCTGCTCTTCTTCAAGGCTAACTCACATGAGCACTGCCTTTTCCACGCATTCCTTCTCAATGCAAACGCTCCAAATACAGTCAAAACTCAGAAATTTGACCTCAAAACAAAATTTGTGGTATTCAAGATTTTCAGGTTTTTTGATAGATGGTCCCAGATTAGTACTCAGTGAAATCCTGTGAACCCAAGGCAGGAAGTTAAGGAGTGTTTTCACAGAAGCCCAGGATGCTCATCCTTGGCCACTTGCCTGCTGCTGCCTCTGCTCCTTCACAAGCATTCCAGCCTCTGCGTCAGGCTGCTCAGAGACAGCTGCGGTGGTTTGCCAA